CCCCCTCTATCCACTCCCCAGACCAAATAATACCCATAAAGACCAAATGTAGACTTTCAATAAAAATTTATTAAAATTATCTATTATTTAAAACCCATATCGATATTTTGTTTTGATAAAAATATTCCTCACCCCCCAGACCTAGAATCGCCCATTAAGGGGGAGAGATTCACCTCCAGTTAAATAGATCTTTTGATTAGCTATAGATTGATACCCTATATTAGACATATCTTATTTTATAAGGCCAAAAAAATAACATTGAAAATTAATGAATAACAATAAAATTAAAAAGAAATAAAACGAAAGCGCGTAAAATGCTTTGTAAAATAAAATTCCTCTTTATCACGATTAAAACGTGATAATACTTATTATCATTCCTTAACTTAAATCACTAATTTTTAGTTATCCCTTTAAAACCCGTGATGATCCCGGATAGTTTTGATCCCTCGACATATATATAAAAGCCTTGTCACACTGTGACAGTCACACTTTCACAATTTATAGTATATATTTAAAAAATCGTTAATTTTGATAAGTGACTTGTAGCCCAATCGGCAAGAGCGTCGCTTACAAATATAATGGACTTAAGTTCGAATCCCATCAAAGATTTTGTTTTCTTAATCTGGCAAAATATTTTTTTCTTTCTTAATCTGGCAAAATTAATCAAATAGATACGATTCAAAGTTTGTAGCTACTTTAAAATTCAAACTATTAAATAGGTATTCTTATATTTTTAAATTTTTAATATTCTTTTAAAAAATATTCGTCCAATAAAAATCACCATAGAATCATATCTTATCAAACATTCATTCATCTTCCATTACCATAAAACCATTACCATCTTATACATCATCATATATATACTAGAACTAACTGAAATATCTATAATATATATTATAAATTGTGACACTGATATTTTTTAATGCTATGATTTTTTTCTGAAAAACCATTTCATGGGCATGAATTTTGAAAAGTGTCTATGGCCTAATCGGTAAGAGCGTCGATTACAAATCTGATGGACTTAGGTTCGAATCTCAGCAATGATTATTTTTTTCTTAATCCAACTTGGTGGTTCCGTCCTTTGAGTTGTTAACTAAATTCCCATTGGACCTGAAAATATTGTCATTTGCAGACCTCTGGTGGTAAATGCATGGGAAAATAAAAGTGCCAGACGCATATCATTTATAAATAGATTCTTTGGCAGAGGTAAAATCCATTATGATCTGCTGTTTCCGATGTCATCCTGATTAGAGATCTGCAATGGGCAAATTTTGGTGCACCTGCCTGCTCATTTATTTAAAAATTTTTGTTTAACTTGCCTGTCCAATGTATAAAAATTATTATATTGGTTGATTTGGCTCTTTATGTATTATTTTAATGTTTTATACTTACACTTATAAATTATGTAATAAAAAAATAACATCTATCTATAATCTATAATAATAATTTATATTAAAGCCGTAGTCACAATGTCACTGTCACAGTGTCACAATTTATAATATATTTTAAAAATTCACGATTTTTTAAAAGCGTCTGTAGCCTAATCGGCAAGAGCGTTGCTCACAAATGTGAAGCTCATGGGGTTCGAATCCCAGTAAAGATTTTTTTTACTTAATCTGGCAAAATTAATTAAATAGAAGATAAAATAATTAAGTGTGACATATTCACATACGATTCAAAGTTTGTTGTTATTTTAAAATTCAAACTATTAAATAGGTATTCTTGTATTTTTAAATTTTTCACAACGTAACAATAACAACCAATAGTATTCTTATAGCATCTTACCATATTAAACACTCATTCATCAAAGCATCCATTAAAATGATATCTAACATTACCATCTTATACATCATAAACATATATCTATCTATAATAATATATATAAAAGCCATAAACGTAGCCAGGATTTTCCTAAGGGGGGGGGGGGGGGAATTAAAAATAGTTGATATTCCTCGATTATATAGAATTAGTTACAAAATACTAGATAAAATTCCACTTTTACAGACATATTTGACAGTTAGAGAATATATTACAGTTAATATTTTAACAAATTTTACTAATCAATGCTCTTGATAATAAATATAGAAACAATTTGCATTCAATTATTTAACGATTTATTTTAAATAAAAAATGATATTAAAAATTAATCTTCATATTATTCATCCCACAATGTCTTTAAAAGATATTTTCTGATGTCCTTATCAATATTTTATAGTTTTCTGTAAAATATATAATTCGCTATATTGGTAAAAATTACTTGATTGTCATATGATAATTGATAAAATTAGATATACTGTAAATCTACGACATATAATATTCCACTGTTTGTATTTTGTTTTAATTTTTTTATTTAATTTATGATTTAATTTTATCAATAGTTTTATAATTATATTTTACTTTTATTAAGATAAATAAATAAAAATTACTCACTTTATAAAAAATTATATTTGATATATTATATTATTTAGTAATTTTATGGATCTATTATTAATTATTATATTATATTTTACTTTTGTCTTAAGACTTATTTTTGGCTTATATTCCATTTCTTAAAAATCATTTTTGGTTCACTTTTTTTATATATAAATGCTTTTTCCAAAAATGTATAAATTATGATGAATAGTTTTATAAAAAAATATCAACTTTTACTTTCGTTCTTTCAAATTATTGTTTATATGCATACATTTTTGGGGGTCCGGGAGTGGGGGAAGGACTAAGGGGGATATTTTTTATTAGCTTAAAATGATATTCACAAAAAGTGATAAATATCTTAAGGGGGGGGGAATTTCCTCTTGCCCCCCCCCTGGCAACGCCTATGATAAAAGCCATGTCATACTCACAGTATCACAATTTATAATATATATTTAAAAAATTGTCAACTTTGAAAAGGTCTGTGACCTAATCGGCGAGAGCATCGCTTACGAAGCTGATGGCCTTGGGTTCGAATCCCAGCAATGCATTTTTTTTGTTAATCTAACTTTGTATACTTTTTTTTAATTATATTAATTTCCTTATTTTTTTTAATTTTTATTATTTATTACTCAATAAAAAATTTAATTTTTCCATATGAGGGTTTTGTATATTGTTATCATGGGAACAGATTTTGGATTTGGATTTATTAAGAATAAGTCTTTTAAAATTGGCTTCAAGAAATTGAAAACCAATTATTTTAGGAAGAACATCATAGATTGTTCCAAATCAAGATGCCAAATAATCATATCCAAATCAAATTTAGATTTAAGATAATGGATGTGGGTAAAATAAACGAGGACGCGTGCTCCCTGCTGGATCCCTTTGTCAGAATCTATGACATGTGGGCTGAATAAAGGAGTTTTAATGTTCCAGTATGACTCTAGGAATTTTGAATAAACAGGAAATTTTGGATAAAAACAATTTATGAAATGTTCAGAAAATTTGCTATTGAAAGCATTTTTAAAGTCTACTTTGATAATATAGCCATGTTAGGAGGAGGATTTTGGAATACAAATGGCATGTGAAGCTATGCCTTCTCACTTAACAACAAATCCTAATTGATAAGTATACTTAATAAGTTAAGACCCTGGGTTTTGACCCATGGCAATTATTTTAGCTAATAATCTTCTAAATAGCCCATTGCAATGGGGTGGATACCACCACAGTTTTGTGAGATAATTAGGTTTGCCCTCGTGATTGATTCGAATCTATTATGGCAGGTCCTTTTTTAAAAGAGTATTTAGGAAGGTTTTAAAAGCATTTAAATGATTGTTTGAGAAGAATGTAGATTTTATACGAAGTGAGAGAGCAAAAACCATTGCGTCTGGATGTGGAAAATTTCTTAAAAGAATTGATAAATATCATAACTCACAAATCATATTTTTTTTATTTCATATTTTTATAATATATTTCGCCTTTTCTCTAAAAATTTATAGAAATCTTGGAAGGATGAATGCGGATAATCTATTCCTTTCATTTGACTTTTATTCTGATTCATCCATCGTCAAATGAAGGTAAAATTTGTTATTTATCCATATGGAGAAAATTCTGATTACCCATCATTCTTGACGGGCTTCAGCTAGTGTATAAATAAATTTCTTTTGTTATGGCAGAATGCTAAAAAAATGTTGTACACCTACTAAAAATGGTTTAACTTGTGAATGTAACATAGATATATGTGTTGAGTAAAGTCAAAACAGAATGTTTTGAAAATACTTGTAAATTGATAACCAATGGAGGATGTCATCATAATTGTTCTATTCACCTCGTGAATGGTACAGATTTGTACATGTTGAAGGTTTTTATTTAAATGAAGATGGTGAATGGTACAGATTTGTACATGTTGAAGGTTTTTATTTAAATGAAGATGGTTATTCTTGTTCATGCAAAACAAGTTTTAAAAAAATCCGACCACAACTAAAAAAATTTTTTAAGAAAAACCCGGACCTGGCTTAAAAATATACTACCCGTAAACAAAATCCGGGCCGGGCCGTGCAAATGGTAGGTCTCTGATTATTATATAGGGCTAAGAACACATATCAGAACGTTCTGGTAGCAATTGAGCTTTTGAGTAATTAAACATTCATTAAAATCATTATATATTCTACTATAAAATATATATTCTACTATAAAATATGGAATTATTCCTAAAGTTATTTGCAGACGATTATATATATTTTAACTTACAAATGTTCGAAATATCTAAGATTTTAGGATTGATTTCAAAACACTCGATTTTTTGGCTTGCTACCTTTTAATATAATGCGCTCGACGCTCTAAAACTAGAATGCACTTTTAGATTCTTAGCATTCGAGTAAGAAATTTTTTTAGCTAAATTATATAAAATTCAATGACATATAGATCGGGGCATTTATCCATGTGCAACATAAAAAGAGCTAATTTTTTTATAACCAGCCAAATTTCCCAAATGTTCGGCTCGTGGTTTAACTTTTAAAATATTTTTTTATCGATTCTTTTCGACAATAACTTAAAATATAAAAATTTTAATATAAAAAAACATATGTTTTGTAAAATTCAAAAAACTAATCAATATTAAAATATATTTTTTTCGACTTGTTCCAAAATTTAAATTTATAAAATTATATATATTTAAAATTTTAATTTCTAAAATTATTCATTCATTTTACGAAAAAGAGGTAAATTATGATTCTAATTAGCAGTCGGCACGGCCTAGTTCGGCCCACGGGTCAAGCCGAGGAAAATGATTTCCGGGCCGAGCTGATCAAATTAATTTAAATATTTTTCCGGGCCAGAACGTGCAACTTATACAAATATATTTTACGGTCTATACCGTATCTGGCCAAAAACTCCGTTAGAAATATTTTATCACAAAATAATGAAAAAAATTAATTTTTTTGTATTTCAATTTCACAGCTTGCTTAATCTTCTGATTAATACATTTATAAAGCTATAATGCTGTGCCATCATAAGTGTTAAGGATATATTATCGATATGCGATAAATTGTTTTTATATTATTAATTTTTTTGATTTCTCTTTTTTTCCTACTCCTCAAAATATTGTAAATTATTATAATGGTATCATTTTCATATTATTTTTGATGTTTTTATTTTTGTTCAAGCCTTTTTTTAAATAATAATAAAAAATATTTCCGAGGCGTAGCAGATATCCCTATCCCTACAATTTCCGTGTCATGTTTGTGGGTGGAAGGGGGGGGGGGCAAAATTTATGCGTTACTTTAAATATATTTTTTATTAAATTGGTGTCAGAATGGCGAAGGAAGGTAATTAAAAATCAGCAACTTATAAAAAAAAATTTAACACTCCAAAATTTACATTTATTAAACAAAAAATTTAATTTCGCCTTTTTATTTATATCATTTTTATGGGTACCCCATAATTTTGAAAAATTCACATTTGAGCATCTTTAAATGAAAGAAAAACCAGTGACTCCAGTGAAATATGAACGTGAGCTTCTGATCATCTTGATTGGATCTAGTGAAAATGTTTTACAATTTTAATCAATATTCAATAAAAGGAAAAAGAGAATTTTCAGTAAATGTGGAAAAAATTTAAACCAAAAATAAATTTATTATTCAAAATAAATTTCGTTTTTGACATGTATTTTTATATATTTTGTTATTGTTTCTATGGGTTAGCTGTTTGTTTTGTTTTGAATATTCAAAATCTTTATTGGTAGACCTGCTTTAATTCGTTTAAAACATTTCTTCTTCCTTTTCGTTCGGATTACGAATCCCTTATATCTTATTATTTGAAATGTTTTTTGCTTTTAACTTATTAAATTTTTATCCAGTGTGAAAAATTATATGTTCGTTATAATTTATATTATATACTGTATTTCTTAGAGATTTAGCAAATTCAGTTTTATGGTGTATAATTAGGTATATATTAATTTAATAACAAAATTGGACCAATCATATATTCTTTATATTAATTTTTTGAATATATAGATAATATTCTGATTTAGTCATTTTTTAAATATTGATTTTGATATTGACTTATGATAAAAAAATCATTCTTTATTTTTGCATCTTTTATTACATATCATGTTCTCGTGGAGGCATAGACAGATTTTTTTGAAATAAACTGCATAGCAGCCCCACCCCCCCCCTTCCCCCGTTAATAGTTACGCAATTTAAATTTACATGATTAGTACAATTCTTAATTAAATATTTATTGTGGTATTCCTATTTTTTTTTAAAATTTTTTTTTATTTTTTCTATAATGATTGTTTGATTAACAACGTAAATTTAATAGAGAGAATACCATTGGCTAGCTTTGAATGATGATGGTAGATGTTATGAAGTTGGATTTAAATAGCAGTATTAAGCATATGTTTTGCGTATGCTTTGATGTCTAATATATCTCCTATTTTATGTATCTAGAAAAATATCCAAATATTTCTCTTATGCAAATGTAAACAATTGTCTTTCTTTACCAATCCATACTAATTTATTTATTTTCAAAAGCTTCTTTTTCTTACATATTTTCTTATTTATATAATACAAGGTAGATCATTTCTAATTGAAAATTAAATTCAACCAGTTGGCTTCGACTTGATGTGTTTTCTTACTTTAAAAATTCCCATTTCTAACATAATTATTTGGTACTTATAATTAGTGTCTTGATCTTTATCAATTTTAGCAAAGTTTTTTTTAAAAAAATAGAAGGCATATACGAAGATATGTATTATACTGAAAATGATACGAACCATAATACACCGGCATTGCTATTACTTATCATTTAGACATGCTAAAGCAACAATTCCTTTGATTTCGATTTAGATATACCCGAGAAAACGTTTTACTAAATTAGAAAATAAAGATGTGCACAAGCTAGCTGAGCAGGTTATTACTCCCCGCAAAAAAACTCATTAGTTGAGGCCCCAACATTTTCAAATCCCCTTCCCCCTCTTTCGCAAATAAGTTAAAAATGATATACTTCTTAAATTTTATTTAATTAAAATTTATTCTATATTTCAAATTTCACATAATCCTAATTATAAATAAAAAGTTTTTAAAAAAAATTTTGAAATGAAATTTCTTTGTTTAAGTTTTAAATTAAAAGAAAACTGATTCTCATTAAGCCAACCAAAACCAACTCTTTTTATTTATCCATTCTAAAAAAAAGGAAAAAAAATAGTCAGGCAAAGCACATCTGTCATGAACGTAATCCATAATAAAAAAACATAATCAAATATTAATCTCTAATATTAATTTTTTAATATTTTTTATAAAAATATTTATATGATATTTAGAAAATTATTTTATCATATTTGAAAGAAACACAAAGAAAGAGTTTGTCTTTCTCAGTGAGATAATTTTCGAGATATTAAAATAGATCAGTTTATTTTTGTCATCACATTCAGTTAATTATGCCCAATTTTTAATCTAAAACAAGCGCTTTTAAACCCCTCCCCCCTTTGAAGTCAATGACGATTTACCCCCTACCCGCTCGTAACTCCCTAAAAAATAAAAATTAGCAAAAAAAATAATAAATTAATTATCTCCTTTCAATTTTATTCAAATGACTAGCCTTTTCATAATTTACACCCCCTCCCTCCGAACTTCAATTTCAGTCGACTTTGCTCTAGAGAATTTTTTTTTATTCTAAATATATATTATATTATCCAAGATTTTCCTCTAAAGAGGGAAGGATTGGTAGCGCCCTCATAAATTTTATTGGAGTTGAATTTTTAAAAAAATAAATTTTTACATTAGAAAATTTCAATTATCATTATTTAAAAAAAGGTATAATTTTTAAAAGATTTAATTCCTGTTATTTTCAACTAATTAATATCAGTTCGTTCCGGTTTGGAAATAATTATTAAGGTTCTTTCCGCTTCATTCAGTTTTTTATAAGTTTTGATAAAATTAATCATAATACTAGTAAAAAAAAATTTTAAAAAATAAAAGCCAAGCAAAATTTAAAGAAAAAAAAGTTAAATTTCTTTATTTTATTATAAAATTTACCTCTTCCTTTTTCGATTGACGTTTCCTTCTTTTATCAGACTTTTGCCTTTTTTAATTGACACTTTTAGCGTACCTTGAGATTCCGTTAATAGATGTCCAACCTATCTGTCATATATGAGAAAAATCTACAAGCTTACTTAATTATTTGGCTAAAATACTGGATTAGTTTTTTTTTAAATCGAGCCTTTAACAACAATACAGAGCTGTGGATGGTATTGAAATATTTAATGAATTAAGGTCTTATTTCATAAAATTTATATTAAAATATTATATTTTTTTTATTTATACAAAATTAATTATATTTTAATTAAAAATTTAAATTATAATTGTGTATATTTTTTTTTATAATTAAATATATTTTTAAATTGGAATTAAAATAAAATTACTATCATCATAAAATATATAAGAAACCTATGTGTAAAAATTGTATCGTAAGAAGATACATATATATATATATATACCATAAGTATCCTGATATTGTTTAATACTAAAAAGACGCATGGGGTAATAGTGATACTTTAACAAATCCAAAACTGAAGTACTGAGAATTTAGTTCTTCCTTTTTCCATACTCAAAATAAATCTCTAATTACATTTTTCAAACCACTTTTTTTTCTTTATATTTTTTTATAAAAAAATTATTAACAGTTTTTAAAAATTCATTAGACCTAATTAATTTTTGAATTAAATCTTTGGACCAGGCTGGGCCAATCACATTTAAAAAATTTCGGATAAATCTCGGACCTGGACCGAACTATAAAAATTGGTCGCGGAGCTCTAATAGAGATGATGTTAAGTTATTAATATTTTTTAAAGAATTGTAATATTAGCTAGATGTTTGGAAGTTTTTTTAATAGTTAAATATCACAATCAATTCAGTTGTGAGATAAGTTTTATTATAATAGTTAAGTGCCACGATCAGATTCAATTGTGGTAAAAGTTTTTTTAACCCATATTTTTAAAAGTTTTTTTATTTTTATAAGGATTTCCTATATTCATTCAACTTTAAATAATTACTTTGCCCACTCTTTAAAAAATATTAAAATAAGTTTGATAACTCTACTTCCCTCATTATGGCATTTTTTTAAATGTTTTTAAAATTAAAACAGATAGAGTAATGACTAATTATATGATATATAGCATTGAACATTATTGGTTTTTATGTGTTTTTAATAAAATATTTGACAACTTCATAAATTAAACTTAACAAAAATTCATTGGTTTGGGGTAGCAGGTGTGCCTCAAAGGATAGATATCTGAGGCGCAGCACCACGTTATCGATCCCAGCTGGAATCAGTTAATTTTCTTCTGAAATTTATTTCCACCAACCGATTAGGGTTAAAATTGAAGGTTACAGTGATGTGGGTTAGATTTAATATATAAATTTTGTATTATTGCATTTAACATAATTTGGGTTAATAAATTTCTATTTGTTGACCGACGTCATATAAACCTCCTCAAATAAGTTAGAGTTAGAGTTGAAGATAAAATACGGATTAGAATTAGTATGTAAAATGGGTGATATTGCATTTGAATAACATTATTTATGTTTATTGATTGATACAGGGTTTCCCATCCAAAAAAGGAAAAGTCCCAATCAAAAAAGGAAAAGGTTCAATCAAAAAAAGAAAAGTGTCAAACAAAAAAGGAAAAAGTTCAATCAAAAAAGGAAAAGGTCCGATCAAAAAAGGAAAATTGTCAATCAAAAAAGGAAAAGTCTCAAAGGTTAAGGAAAAAGTCCAATCAAAAAAGGAAAAGTGTCAAACAAAAAAGGAAAAGGTTCAATCAAAAAAGGAAAAGTGTCGAACAAAAAAGGAAAAGGTCCAATCAAAAAAGGAAAAGTGTCAATCGAAAAAGGAAAATTCCCAAAAGAAAAGGAAAAGGGTCAATCAAAAAAGGAAAATTCATATTCAAAAAAGGAAAATCGTAATTTTTTTAAAAAAATATATAAACTTTTCAATTTTTCTTAAATTTATTTATTTTTGTCATTCCTTCTTATTTTATTTCTAACTTTTTGCGATTTCTTTATTTTATTTGTATCTTTTCTCACTATATCTTTTCTCAATTTTTTTTCTTCTCATTTTTGTGGTTTGACTGAAAGTCTTCATTCTTGGTCTGGATGGGTATGACTGTCATGCCCTCAACATGCAGGGTTTCCCATTCAAAAAAGGAAAAGGTCCAATCAAAAAGTTTCAATCTTAAAAGGAAAATTTCCATTCATAAAGGAAAATGGTAATTTTTTATAATTTTCTTAAAATAATTATAAATTTTTCAATTTTTCTTAAATTTTATTTTTTACCCCCCCTCTCTATACACCCCCCCCCTCTCTATACACCCCCCCCCCAACCACCCTCAGACCAAGTCATACCCATCCAGACCAAGAATGAAGACTTTCAGTCAAACCACAAAAATGAGAAGAAAAAAAATTGAGAAAAGATACAAATAATTATTTTATATTTTTCAAACATTTTTAAATATATTAAAATATTATATTTTCGTTTTTTTTAATACATTATATTATTTATTATTTGAATATTGAAAATTGAAAATTGAAAATTGAAAATTGAAAATAAAGGAGGTTACAAATAAAAAAATAAAATAAAATAAAGAAATCGCAAAAGTTAGAAATAAAATAAGAAGGAATGACAAAAATAAAAAATTTAAGAAAAATTGAAAAGTTTATATATTTTTTTAAAAAAAATTACGATTTTCCTTTTTTGATTGACCCTTTTCCTTTTCCTTTTCTTTTGGGAATTTTCCTTTTTCGATTGACACTTTTCCTTTTTTGATTAAACCTTTTCCTTTTTTGTTTGACACTTTTCCTTTTTTGATTGGACTTTTTCCTTAACCTTTGGGACTTTTCCTTTTTTGATTGACAATTTTCCTTTTTTGATCGGACCTTTTCCTTTTTTGATTGAACTTTTTCCTTTTTTGATTGAACCCTTTTTTGTTTGACACTTTTCCTTTTTTGATTGAACCTTTTCCTTTTTTGATTGGGACTTTTCCTTTTTTGGATGGGAAACCCTGTAATATATTATATACACAAACAAATACCTTTTTCATTATTTATGTTGTTTTTCCTATGTCCAAAACATCAAGAAATTTAATTCGAAAACCTTTAAAGCTTTATTAAAAATCATATGATAAACATTTTTTATTTAAAAATTAAAAATTAAAAATGTAGCCATAACAAAAATGTAATTTTCATAACCTTAACACTAGTTTGTTAAAACTTGAAAGATTTGAGACAAGTTTTGGGTTGCGCCCTTACATGTAGCTTTTGTGATAACTAAACCTATAAAAATTAACATATTTATATTTTAAAAAAATAAGATAATAATTTCTGGTATATAAAATTGGTATATAAACGGTTCATATGATATGAACCTCTGAACTAGCCCTAAATAATCACTATCTTTAAAATTTGATTTATAATTTAAAATATGTTGCCTGTTCAAAGAAAGTTTAATTTTATATAGAATATCGTGTTAATATAATTATAAATACTATTATTATAAATATGTTATTTGAGCTACTAACGAACGAGGCATTAATTAACTAGCATGTCCGATTACAGAATCTACTGGCGAGTCGGGCTCCTGAGCCGAATGGTGAGTCATCCCGAGTCAACTCATGAGTTCAAATTATTTTTTTTAGAATTAATAGTTCTACGTATTTTTGCTATTTCATTGATAATTTTATGATGTTTCTAAATATATCTTTTATTTATTGTAAACATGATGTAAATTATATGAAACATTTAGAAAATTAAATGAAGCAATTGTAATCCATTTTTCCTAAAATTATAAGGAATCTAATATTTCTAGATTTAAGTGCATTCTTTATTCTAAAACTTTGCCACAATTTTAAAAATTCAACTAACTACTTATCGATATGGCAGATCATTGATTTGCCTAGCACCCCTCTATTTTTTGTAAACTTTTTTATTTTTTAATTTACATTTAATCATAATATTCAGTCAGGGAAAAGGGAAGGAGAATTGTAGATGGCTAAGTCGTTTAGCTGCGACTTGAAACAAGTTTCTATTAAGAAAACTCGACTATATCTTTTTAATTTTTTTGTATATTTCTATAATTATTTTTTCTTTAATCAAATACCAGGCCACACCGGGTTCGGCTAACCATTTTATAATTGTTAACTTCAGAATACAACGAGCAAATTTTTTTAACTGCCTTTCGCAGTTTAGATGAAAGAAGAACTCCTCTAAATCTTGATATATTAGATTTATTATACTATTTTTACACCAAAGATGGAAATTGGTTTAAATCAATTTCATTTTGATATATTAAATTTTTCATATTATATTTTGTAATAATAGAAAAAAGTTAATCAAATATCCATATTAATTTAAAAAATAGGGTTTTAAACTATTAATTCTAGAAAAACGAGTCGGCTTATCGAGTCTTCTGACGACATAATCAATTTTTCAAAAACTTAATTCGAGTTGAGGTTAAGCAGCTTAAATAGTTGTTTGAAAACATGAATTTGGTCTGATATAAATGGATTCATAGCCGACCATTTGAGTTTACTAATACTCTAGAAGAAAACCCCTCCTGGCCTTATAACCTCCAGGCATATAAGATCCCATCCTATGTTTATAATATATAGATCATCTTATATTCTTTATACCCCACCTTAATATTAATATAAAACGATTTATTAATTTGCATAGTTTTATAAGCCATGCACGGACTAAGAAGACCAAGTTACGATTTCCTAAGGATCCATCCTGATCCTTACCACAAACGTCACTCTATGCAGACAATCAGGGAACTGTCCAGTAACAATTTGAAACAAGATTATCTTGACGCCAGTGCCATAGATCATCAAAATTATCAATCTAGAAACAGACGCTCGAAGGGTTCTGTAGTAGCCTATCTGACATCCCGGTTCTCTAAAGTGCCGGATTCTTATTATTTTAGCCACAAATACCAGAACAAGTTCGACTGGGTCATTTACGCAGGTGTCTCATTAGCAGTCGTTGTGCTCATGCTCTCCCTAGCTATGCTTTACGTCATATCCAACCAAAAATTCAAGATTCCACAACACTCTTGGAGATAAAAATTTAAGGGAAACAGAATTTTTTTAAAAAAGAATATTTTTTATCTTATTCTATCCCATTAAGTGCCATTAATTCTTTATTATAGGATTTTATTTTAATTAATTTCCAACTTAATGTCGAGTAAGTATATAATTCAAGGTTCAAATGACATTAACTTCAAGAAAAATTAAAATTAATTGTAAAATATACATTAATTAAACGTTAATTAAACGTTAAGGAGAAACTAATGAAGCTTTAAATAAAGTATATTTTTTTTGAATTATACCTATTATTAGTATTTTCTTAAATTTATATATGATTTTATATTCTAACATCAGCGTCAATTACAAATATGATATAACAAAATGTGATCTGAGTAAGGAGGAAAAATAGCTTTATAATTATTATTTATTTTGCTGGTATGATTTAAAATTAAATAAAATCAATTTGTCATCATTAATATGAGATTTTTTTAAACATTGGTGGTCGTTAAGCCTACAAGGCGTGATATAAAGTTAACAATTTTTTTTATTTAGCCCACAAATATCAAACATGCTTAACGGTTTTTGAACATTAAGTAAACCATATTTATTAATGTTTTATAATATTACTAATATAGTAGAACCTTGCCTTAGTAAACTCCCTTGATCTTGAGGAATTAATTTTTTTTCATTTTAACAAATATTTATTAAGGTAAGGGATATGGGAAAGCGCTTGGGGGAAGGGGGGTTAGAGTTTAACTACATTATAACATACATAATAAATATCCCTTTTATAATCGAATCATTTTATATTTTAATCCTTAAGGGCTCAGTATCATAGGCAGGGGGGTTTAGAGAACACTGAGAGGTTATATTAAATTTCTGTAGTTTAGCAATTATAATTATTGAATAAACATTCAACTATATATACAATTATATGTTTTAGTTAATGGTTACATTCATGTAAAATTGAAGATGTTAGTGAAAATTTAACATTGATAAAGGATTAGCATCTTAAGTTTTTCAAATTTCTCAGATCGATTGATATCATAATTTTTTATTTAATTTTATTTTAGAAAATATTGATAATATACCAAAAAAAATATCATTTTTTGAATGGCAGCAGGAGGAAAGAATTCCATTAATATTTTTGTCAATCCTTTATTATTATTTATTATATGATTATTATTTTTGTTTTATTGTTTGCGATATTTGATAAAATGGGAGTGTGGTCGAGTGAACAAATAATAATGGAACTCTCAGATCTTAATATAAATCAGAAATTATGCGTGGCTATAGCTCAATAGTGACCCTGACTGATATGCGGGGTAAGCCTAATGGGGTTCAAAAATTCAGATTAATAAATTCACATCCTTTACTACCGTTCTCATTAGTTGAATTTGGTTTAATCGATGCTGAAAAATGCAATATAGACTCCTGCTCATTCTTTTGCCTAATTAAACAGCATTAAGTTTTCTTTATCAGCCGTCTACAAATATATGGGAAGGTCCTAATTAAATTATTGTCATGCTTAGCTTTGAAAAGATTTTATGATAGGAGTCACTTGTTGATGCAATTTAATCAATTTGATACCAACTCAGCTTAGTGATCTGCACGGGCCTAATTTTTTAGGCCCGACCCGGCCCGAAATTTTTTTTAAAAAATTTTTCCCGGCCCGGCCTGAACACGAATTTTTTTTAGAAACTTTTGGCGGCCCGGCCCGAACCCGGAATTTTTGCCGGCCCGGCCCGAACCCGAAATTTTTGCCGGCCCGGCCCGAACCCGAATTTTTTTTAATTCATCCTAAAGTAATAATTATATTTTTTTTAGCTTTTAGTTTATTTTTTATTTTTTATATTTAAGATTTTGTTTTTGCAAAAAATATCTTAGTAAACAGAAAATTTATTTAGTATTTATTTATTTAAAATACTATCAAAAATACCTATAAACCAAACAATAATTATAATGTTAAATTACACAACTATATATTAGATTCATATTTATAATTATCATTTAAAAATATCAAAGCATCAACATTTTCTGGTGACAGTCTATTTCTTCTTTCGTCTAATAACCTTCCAGTCTTTGAAAAAGTTCTCTCTGAAGTTGTGGACGTTGCAGGAATTGCTAGAATTTTTCTAACCAATTTTGTCATCTTTGGTAATCTAATTTCATTTTTATTCCACCATTTTAATATATCTTTTTCTGGATCTATATTTTCATTATTCTCTTTTATATTTAAATTCTTATAAATTTCAAGCTCATCTGTTTCTTTTTTTTCATATTCTTCATCATTGTCCTCCCATCTTTCATATTCATTGCCTGATATATAAAAATAATATAAATAGAACAATTTTAAATGTACCTTTAGATCTTTTAGGCGATTCCACAATTTGAGAAACGCCTTGAATATCCAAATCTATAATATCAATTGAAGGACAATATTCTTCAGAATTAATTATATTTTTGACTGAATTCTATACTTCTAATATTTCCATTGATGATAACATTCTTAATTTTCTATATTTGGAGCATAAAAATGTCGCTATTTTATGCAAAATATTGATTTTAAATTTAGATAATAAAAAATTTTTTAAATTGGTTTTTATTTCTTTTATTTCATTGTTTTGATAAAATGAATCATTTAAATCCTCGTGAAGAATATTATTAAAGCATAGCAGTACTTTATGTAAAGTAGGATTAATATCTCCTTCTAGTTCTTTAGTAGCTTTATCAAAAGGATATAAAATATCAATCAAATTTTTCAAAATAGATTTCTCCAAGTTTTCCATTTTATTAATATCTCCCTTGGATGATAAAAAATTGACGATGTCATCATATTGGTTATAAATAGATTTCAACATATTTAATTTTGAATTCCATCTAATTTCGATATCTTGTTGTAATGTTTTGTCTAAATATTGATTCATGCCGGTTTGTTTAAAATACATGGTTAATTTTTTAGCAGAAATAAGGGTTTGATATATATTAGGAGCGATAATTTTCAAAGATTGTTCCTTAAAGGTATTTCGAAGAACAGTATTTAATAGATGTGCGCTGCAATTTAATCTGGTGTATTTTTCTAGGGCTTTAATTATATTAGCTCCTTGATCAGATATAAATATTATATTTTTCACTTGATCGGGAATTATTCCAATTGCAGCAAAATTTTGTAGCATTTCCTTATGTATGTTCGCGGCGGTTTTTTTCTCTTCTTTAAACTTATTCGTAAATAAAACATGTTTATATAAGGTTTCACCTTCGATATAATGAATTGAAACAGTTAAATAGGAAAACTTTTTAAAAGAATCTGTCCACATGTCTGTTGTAGCAGAGCATTTTTTATCAAATAATTGAACATTTATTTTATTAACCAAATTTGTTCTAATTTGATCCGTCATAACTATAGCATTTCTCGATAAAGTAGTTGGATGGGGAATAATTTCGCTACAGTCAATATTACCGTAAATGGAGCCAATTTGAATAAAATTTTGAGCCATTTTTATAAAGCCATCTCCAGTTATCGAATCAAAGGCACGCATGTCCTTGGCGCAATAATAGATCAAGGTATCACATAGTTTCTTTTTAATAGTTAAGGAAGAATTTAGATCTATTTTCTTTTGAATATACCTAGTTATTTTAGGAATAGAGGAATCGTCATTCTTAACGCACTTGTGACGTCTTAAATGAGAATTTCCAGATGTGCTTTTATATTGTAATATACTATTACATTTTTTACATTGGACGTAATCAAGTTTTTTGTTTTTATCATCAAATATGTCTTCAAAATTTTCCCATATATTGCTATTACCTAAATGGGGCATACAAATATATGTTCCATTTTGTATTTGTTTTTTTAAAAAAATTAAATTCATTTTTAAATTATATTTAAAATTTAAGTTTTATAAAAAAACATTTAAATTATTTTACCCATAATAAAATATATATGACATATGGCGTCTACTTTCTAAATAAATAAAATTAAATATTTATATTTTACAAATAAAAAATGTTGCCGCCTTGTTTCTTAAAAAAAAGTTTAATTATATATTTATACCAAGAATAAAAGATACATGCCATCATATGGCGTCTAGCTTCTTCAAATAAAATTAAATATTTTTATTTTGCAAAAAATATTAGTACCAATATTAAAAATTTTTTTAAGGCCCGGCCCGACCCGGCCCGGATTTTTTTAAAAAATATTAGGCCCGACCCAACCCGAACCCTAATTTTTTTTAAAGTAGGCCCGAACCCCTAGACGAAGCCGGAGAAAGACTAGTGCCCCATTATTAAATATTCTATTTCGTTCATATTTTGAGATAAAGAGTTTCGTGTAGGACTAAATACAGTTAGAAAAACTATATATCTTAAGAAAATTAAATCTTTTATAAAATAAATTTGGGAGGATCAAAGGAGGTAAAAGCGACAAAAAAACTTATGGAGAGAAAATAAATAAGCGAAATATTAACCTTTAATTCGGAGTATTTACTAGGATCCGAGTGATTGGGTAAATTACGATAAATATAAAAGTATTGCAATATAAATTAAAATTTATTTTAAGTTTTAAGTATGGCAGAAAAATTCTTAAATATAATATAAATGGGTGAAAAAGAAAACAATTATGTAGACCTACTCTAGTTGTTTCCGTTTCGATATCTAATTTATTACAGAAAAGTAAATAAAATAATTAAAATAAAAAAACATGGAGTTCATAATAGTTTAGTAATTTACATGTTATTTATTTATAATATTCAAAATTTCTAAAAATTATAAATTAAATTACAAAATTATAAATTACCATTTATTTACAATATTCCAAAGTTATGATCATTTTGGAAATAAAAGGAAAAGAAAACAAACAAAAAAAATAAATAATAATAAAAGGAACCCGACAAATAATACATGAA